AGAGAAGACTGAAGGCTAGCAATGTTCAGGCCCTTCTCTTTCAAAATGCAGACACGCATACACATTGGACCATCTAGTGCTTTCCAGAATGGGAATGAAATCAAGGTTAGAAGTCCAAGGAATTGCAAAAAGTTGTTTGCATATATATCCATCTCTGTTTTCCAACTATCCTGATTCAGCAAATCAAAGTAAAAGCCCCAAAGATAAAAGGCTTAATCAACTAAGACAAGGGTCTCTCACAGGTGACCTGGACCTAAAACCTTTTGTTTAACCCATTAAGTCTTTCATTTTCAACAAATTTGTCAAATTTACTATCTATTTTTTTTTTGTCTAGCATTCATTTTAATAGTCAAAAATGACTTTATGTTAGTATTCTTTTTAAGACAGCCTCACCTAAAATGTTTGGCCTAGAAATGACACAAAATGTTAGGCTTGAGGTTCTTCTGTCGTGCAAAATATTCCAGAAGAAAATAACAAATCAAGCACTGGCAGGTGATACCAAATGAGTAGCCCAGAAGCAGTTCCTTCTGTGAAAAAATATCTTCCTAGTTGGAAGATATTACGTGCAAACCAGGGGCTGCAGTATACTTACTGTGTTATTGCTCTCAGAGTCAATTGTGAATCAAGAATCAGAAACCAGTAGGACTCAAGAGCTCTCAAAAAAAAAAAAAAAAAAAAAAAAAAGCTGTCTTTTAGAGAATTGCGTGTTTTTATACAGTCCATTTGGAGGGGAAGCTGTGATTAAGGATCTGTAATTTTTATTTGGAGACTTTCAGTTCTGCTCTAATTTGGTTGAAACCATTGGTTCCGTCTTTCATTTCCTGTAACAAGTATATCACTGAGACCAGCTTCTGGGCATTTCTATGTAGTCCTGGTTGGCTGTAATAATGAGCAGGGACCTGCAGTGTCTTCTCCAAGGGGATCCAGTAGGTGGAAGACTTCTGTTCATTGGGAGGGGGCTCTCCCAGGGGTGTGGTGAGTACTGGAAGGATGCACCATATATGCAGGGTGTCTGGACTCACCCCATAGTTCTGTCCATAACCAAAGGTTGGATACTAAATGCAGAAGTTATAAATGGAAGAAAATGCCAACTGCACGGGGACCTGTGGTTTGGAACCCAAGTGACAATCAGACGATTCAGGGGAACTCGAAAGTTAACAGATGCTTTTGGCCTAGAGATTAAAAATTCAACAAAGAGAAAGAAAAGGAAAGAAGAAAGGAAGCAAGGAAAGAAGGGATGGAGCGAGGGAGAAAGGAAGGAAGGGAGGGAGGGAGGATATTTTCCTGCACTTTGAAAAAGAAAGTTCCCATCATTACTAGAATTTAGTATTCTGCTTAATGCTAAAAATTGAGTGCAGGTCCCTTGATTAAGAAAAAAAAAATTGCTCTGGGAATGTGGTGTGAGCTCAGAGGTGGAGGATGGAGACCCTGAAGGGCCAAAGTCTGCTCCTTAATTCTCTGCACCATTAATCATTTCCTTCCGATGGTTCACAGTTCCGAAACGTGTGGGGACACTTGATATTACTCGTGCGTGTTCTAAAACTCGTCTAGAACATATTTGAAAAAGAAAAACTAGAATCCCCTTTTATTTCTTAAGTGTTCCGTTCTGTCAGTTATGTGAGTTTGGACAGGAGCCAGGATGCTATCCATGTGGCCCCCAGCAGTGCTGTGGCCGATACTGGCATTCCATAACTTTCTTGAGGCTTCACCAGGAGTCCGGAGTCCCCACCTGGGGAGAGGACAGAAAGGAAAGAGGGCAGGTGTAGGAGTTCACAGATGATACAGGCCCCAGCATCCAGTGGGCCCAGAGCAGCCGGATCCTGCACAGTCTCTCCTTCAGACTGGAGAAATGTGATGCGCAGAAACTCCCCAACTCCAGGGAGAGCAGGGAGCACAGGGCAGGGGGACAGAGGGAACAGTGTTTACATAGTTTGTCTCCTCCTTCTAAGTCACATCTGTGTCTAAAATCTCCTCCCGTCACCAGGAACTGACTTGGGGGCCACCACATGACACCTCTTCTCCCTGAAGCAGAGGCCCTCACACTCCCATTACCTTCTCCTTGGTCCTCCACTCTCTTGGTCCTGCCTGTCCTTCTTCTCAGGCTTCTGCCAATGAATCTTTCACACGAAGCCTAAAAATCTTATGGAATAAAAAACCCCTCAGTATCACCTCTCAGATTTCCCTTTTCTAGAAGATAGGTTAAATGAATTGGGCCACTCTTTTAGCAAGATTCTTTAACCCTATGGTCAGAAGGTTATTAGAGAAGGCTCTTTGGACATAACTTCTTCTTCCACTCCATTTGTCTTTCTAAATAAGATATCTCCTGCATTCCCCCAACTCCTTCCCCTCCTTCTCTGCTTCCCTCTTTGCCCCTCCCCTCCTTCCATTTTCCTCCCTGCCTCCTCAATTCCCTCTAAGGAACACATGGTTTGTTGTTAGATTGTCCAAACTTGAATCTTAGCACAGTCACAAACTACATATGTGGTCTTGAATAACTTATTTAAGAGCCTGTCTCTCTTCCTTCTATGGAATGGGCCAATAATTGTACCCATCTCATAGGTTTGTTCTAACACAGAGAGAGACCTAGAAGACTATCTGGTCTGTAGGAAGGGCTGGGTAGGTTCTAGCTATTATCATTACTATTTATTCAGCTTCCACCCAGGGATATACCTCTGCATGTAAACAGAAAGGAAATTATGCCTAAAGCTTTGCTTGTGTGTGGATGGTCTTTGAGACAAACATGGAATTTAGCTGCATTCTGTCACAATGGGAAATGTGACATTAGTAACTGTCAACATGCATGGGGAAGGCAGAAGAGAATTCCCCACCCTGTATGAAGGAGGAAGAGTGTTTTGTTCCTGTGGTGTGTTGATGGTGTGGTTGAGGCCAGGGAAATTTTCCCTGGTATATTTGTCGTACTCATGCAGCTTGCAGATACTTCTAAGACAGTGAGAAATAGTTTCAACTAGAGAGGGAAGTTCATTAGGACCAAATGGGACAGATACATTTGGCCATAATACAGTGAACACTCATTATGGAGGGTCATGGGCCCCTATCTGCAGACTTTGAGTCACTCAGGAGTTCATTTTCTTCATTTATAAAATGATGGCACTTTGGGCTCTTTAAAGTCAATGGAATTTTAGTTTTGTTCTGATGGGAATAGTGGGTTTGGTGAGGTCTTCTGATGTTTTTCAGTTGCAGGAAAACAATATGTCAACATAGGTATTGTGGAAAAATTCATTATTTGTTATATACAAGGTAAACATAAGGACAGAAGGAAAATGGATACATTCATCAAACATAAAAATTTCCTTCAGGTAGGTCTTAAATTTCACAATTCACACATAGGTCATTGAGTTTCAGAGAATTAAGGAGATTAGACTGAGACCAACAAGCTAACAAGAAATCCCCTCTGTAGTTTCCAAGGCTCACATGCAGTTGAGCTGGGAAGAACTGGTCAGGAGCTAGGTGTGGGGTTCAGTCCTGCTTCTGCCACTCTTGCTTGGCTCTAGGCAACACACTTTGACCTCTCCTTTTACCTGGTGATAATTGCTCTTATCTCATAAGTGAAAATTAAATGAGATACTATAAATATAAGTCTTGGACACTGTAGGCCCACAGGAAGCCCCAGCTGCTTTTTATATCATACACCATGGCCACTAGAAGGGAGGTGGTACAGAGGCTGCCCTAGTGCATGGGGATGTCGCATCAAGAACCAGGCAGATGGACTGAGGAGTTGGGAGGACAGCTATGTCATCTTGTTCTACAAGGTTTTAAGAAGACACTTTAAGGATGGTTATCACTATGCTTCTTAGAATCACCGTTTTACTAATAAAGATCAACTACTATTTTAGGGATAATTTCATTCCCTTTATTTCAGTCTAATTTGCTCTTACTGTGGCAGGCAGGAATATACAATGCTTTATTTCTGCCACTTCTCTGAATCTTGGCTCATCATTAGTAAGATTTTGTATATATTATCTCAAAAACATATGTGGGATCTTTTCTTCATTTGGCAGCCCCAGACAGGGATACCCAGAGCCCCAGCAAGATAAGTTTGTTATTAAGCACCCTTTTTTAGTGTCTGTCCCTCATCCCTTATGTAAGAACCATTGTTCACATCTCTGCAGCAGTGGTGAAGGCTGACATAGCAACCTTGTGGAGACATTGAACCAACTGAAGAAGTCAAAATGGCACAGCGGTGTGCTGTGGGTGTAGGTGACACAGCAAGGCAGACTGACTAAGTACCTCGGCAGGCCAAGCCAGCAAAAGTGCAAGAAAGAGGCGAGTCCTGGTGGATGTTATTGCTACTATTGTTCTTTTGCCTGAAAAACACAGTGTTCCCTGTTCTTCATCTCCCTTTGCTTATTTATTGAATTTTTTTGCATTATTCCATTTGCTTAAAGTTCCAGAGAATAAACATAATAACACCATTGATTGAAATAATTAAAACAGATAGCTTCAATAATAGCAGAACTGAACAGCCATGAAGCAGCCAATTTCTCCTTTGTCATTCTCCTGGGGGGCTGGTTTTAAAAAGCCACCTCAAGGCTGTATTTCTTGAATGTTTTGCAATTGGAAACAACTATATTGTAATGGAAAAAGCCCCATGTGCGGAGTCAGGGCTGGCCTTGCTCAGGACTAGCCTTGGTCTTTTCAGACAAGAGACAGAGCAGGACACCTACCTGCCACTCACCTGTGACAGAAAATCAGCTTCCCACTCCAGGAGGAGACTGTGAGGAGAGTTCAATTACATTCTGAAGATGAAGTACCTAACACCACTCTGGATGCAATTTTGGTGTTGGTCTTTTAATAAATGGGTGTTTTTGTTATTCATGCAAGATGAATAAAAGAACAGAGAATTCTCTTCCCCTTTTTAGGGGAAACTTCTTTTGTAGGGAAAAAAAAAAAAAAAGCACTTGTTCACTCAACCAGAACTCCAACTTCTTTTTTTTTAAATTTTTTTAATATTTATTTTTTAGTTTTCGGCGGACACAACATCTTTGTTTGTATGTGGTGCTGAGGATCGAACCCGGGCCACATGCATGCCAGGCGAGCGCGCTACCGCTTGAAGTCCAACTTCTTTATGGGAAAGAAATCTGAAGAATGTGTCCCTATCCTGTAGAAAATTGGCTGTTCCGAGACAACCCTAAGAAGACCTACAGGTACAGGTCCCCCACTGAGGACAGCCCCAGCATCAGGGACTTGATAGAAAAATGATGATTCTGGAAATCATCAGGACTTTTGGCAAATGCCATTCCTTTTTCTTAGCTTGAACGTCATTCTCACTGAATTTGATTTGTACTCTTTGGTAGGGGTTTCTGCTCTACTGCTCCATGAGGGCTTTGTTCAGCTGCAGATAGGGAAAACTTACATAAGATGTTTCTTTAACCCCTTGATATCAACTTCTGAGAAACTGAGAGATTTTTCTTCTCTCTCCTACCTCCTTTTCTAAAGGCAGCATTGGCAGGCTGGAAACAGAATTCTAGGAATCCGAGGATTGTGGCTGAGGAGAGAAAGGAGGTTGTCTAGGAGCCCAGACCCCTCTGCCAGACCCCGGAGAGTCATTGAGAATAGTCTTAGGTGAAGCCTGGAGGCTGCAGCCCAGATCAGCAAAATCTACTCTGCCCCCGTGAAGAGCAGGACCCTGGGATTATCCAGGTAAACAAAGCTTGAAAGGCTTCAGTAGCGAGACACCCAGGGCTCTTCAGAAGCACTTTGAAGCCCAGGGAATGATAAACCAGGGGAGTCTCCAGGCTTATTGTTTGATTTGTTTCAAGTCAGTCAGGAGAGAGGTCATTTCTACCCAATTATTAATGATCATCCCATCTGGACATCTATAGAGGGAAAGTTCTCCAGAACTGTAGCCAAAATAAAAAAAAAAAAAAAAATCTACTGAAAATATTTTCACAATGAGTAAACATGACTTTGCTTGGATATAAGCCTCCTTTTCTGTATCAGTTATGGACCCTGGTCTAATTGAAAATTCAGACAGTTGAAGCTGCCAACCACACCACTGAGTCACCACCTGGGAGCCAGGTATCTGCACATATTCTGTTGTTTTGCGCAGCTCAGCTGAGTCAGTTACAATAGGCCCCATCTCAGACAGATGATGACTGGAAGGTTTGTGACTCAAACAGCCTAACGTGACCGGTTTTGTCTTCAGCAGGAAGATCCCACCTGATACCAGCTACTGATTCAGCCTGCCAACACAATCAGTTGGTTCTTATAGCATTCTTGCATAAATCACAACACAAAAAGATTGGCAAGATAATTTTTAATTTTTAAACTCCACTAAGAGAACTGTCAAAAAGCTAAGACGTCACATCTGAGTGTGTTTCTTCTTATAAGTAGTCAAGAAGTGGTGCAGTGGGAAGGGCTGTTTCATGAGAATTAAGCTGTGCTGTGCTTGTAGTAAAGAAGAGCTTGGTGCTGATTCCACAGGGGCCAGGCTGTCCTTCGTGAAGAGTTCAGTGTCTGTCACCTGTGAAGTGGCTTTTCCCCAGGTGAGACATTATGCTCCACAAGCCAAGCCTTTCTCTGTCAGGAGTCCATCAGTAGATGCCAACTGTTCACTCTACAGATTGTAGGCAGCGATAGAGAAACAAGAACCCTCACTGAGAATTTTACCCCATTGTTTTTTGATTCTAAAGAGCCCATGTTAATGCACTATTTGTGAGTTACTCTGAGTAATAATTTAGAGACAAAGCTAAAAACTTCAGAAACAATAGCAAGTATCCATTCAGGGTTTATTATGCACAGAATACCAATAGATGTGTTTTCTGTTATTTATTATTCTCAGAAGTTCTGAAGCACATGTCATTAGAACTTTACCCGATGAGGAAACTGAGGCTGGAGAGGCATCCGAGGCTGCATAAAGCCAGGCCTACCGACCCACTGCTGTGTTCTCCCTGAAAATCAACAAGTGCAGCACTTTAATGGAGCACTGTCTTCCTCGCAATGGCAAAAGCAGGTGAACCTGGCTGAGAAAATATTGCTTTATAGAGCTGACTTCAGAGCAGTGGGTAGGATTCATTTTAAAAGGCCCTGAATTTGTGTATATACATATGTGTGTGTTACATATATACATATGTGTGTAGTTAGCCAACAGTGGTTGCATCTGGACTAAATATATACACGCTATTTTTTTTCTTGTTGTTATTCTCTAAACAACACGTACATAGCATAATAACGTTGACATGAGGTTAGACAGTGTAAGTAGTCTAGAGATCACTTAGAGCATTTGGGAGGATATATGTAGTTTATTCGCAAAACCCACACCATTTGACGTAAGGGACTTGAGCACCTGTGAATTTTGGTATCCTCAAGGAGTCCTGGGACAAATGCCCTGAGGACACAGAAGGATGACGCTATATAATTTATTACATACTTGGACAAATAGTTCCTATGCACATGCTATGGTTTTATGCAATTTATATATTAATATATCAGACCCATTTTCCTCACTTTTGCCTTTTTCATTCAGACAGCTATAAAAAAAATACTCATAGACTGGGTGGCTTAAGCCATAAACATGGATTTCTCACTGTTCCATAGGCTGGAAGTCCAACACCAGGTCTGTCAAATGGTGTCTGGTGAGGGCCTGTTTCCTGGTATTTTGGCAGTGACATCTCCTGGGTCCTCACATGGTGGGAGGGCTTGGAGGTCCCTATCTGGCCTCTTCTAAAGGCACTAATTCCATCTGTGAGGGCTCTATCCTCTTGACCCAGTAGCCTCTCAAAAGCCCCACCTCGGGCTGGGGATGTGGCTCAAGAGGTAGCCTGCTCGCCTGGCATGCGTGGGACTGTGGGTTCCATCCTCAGCACCACATAAAAATAAAATAAAGATGTTATGTCCACCGAAAACTGAAAAATAAATATTAAAAACTTCTCTATCTCTCTCTCTCGAAAAAAAAAAAAAAAGCCCCACCTAATGCTGTCACCTTGGGGGTCAGGATTTTAGTGTATGAATTTGATGGAGGTGGGTGACAATGCCTTACAAATAGTTTAGCTTATGCTTCTTTACCTGACACTTTGGGTCAGATGATTCTATGTTTTGGGGGCTGTCCTGTGTGCTGCAGGATGCTCAGCAGGGGCCATGGCCTCCACCCACTGAAGCCAGTTGTACTTGCTTAAGTTGTGACAACCCCAAGTGTCTCCAGTCATGTATGGTCCCTGCTGGGGTGGGGTGGGGTGGGGAGCAAAATCAACCCTAGATGAGCACTGTCTTCCTCACATTGGCAAAAGCAGGTTCAGATGTTTCAGAGCAATTGAGTTTCTGAGTTTTTCTCATCTTAGATTGAAATATCAAAAATGTTAGTGAGAAGTATCTCAATGGTTACTTCTGGACAGGAAGAAATCACATGTGTTCTTCTGTCTTTGCTCTTCACCGTGATTTGGCCCAAGCATCCTTCTTAGCTCTTGGTAAATTTTCTTTCGCTTCCTCTGCATCTGTAAGGGATCTTCCACCCTTTATCAGGCTGAAAACTGACCCCTGTTTTGAATTGCTTGACTCTGCCCACCAACGATCTGGTCTTAAATAGGACCTGATCATATGGCATGACATTTTTTCTACTGTGTCTTTATAAAGAAGAAAGAAGTTTGTTTTTCTACTAAGTCTTTGAAACTTCTTTCTTATTAAATTTCTCTTCTTAGGGAAAAAATAATGTGAGAACATTATTGTTGACCTGCAGCTATCCCTGGACTGAATCCACGTGTTTTCTTTTGGAATATCTGGAAGATGAATCCTCATAAGAAAACTGGTATTACCGGAGTATTATTTTTTCTGGTCTTCACAATGGTTTTTACTAAACAGACCACACAGTGCTGAGTTCTACTGAATTCACCATGTGAGGACAGTAGAGAAGTATTTCTTGGGATTTTTAAGCATGAAATTTGCCATTATGTTGGTGGCAGACACCTGTTTCTTCTCTGCCGAGGACCCTGAGCAGTGGCTGACCTGTCAACACATGATCTAGCATAGCATAGAGCTCCTCTTGTCCTTCCAGAGTCCTGAGGTTGAACAGGAGATTCTCCCAGCACCTGTCTCCCTTCTGTTACAATTTCTCTTTCACCTTCATCTCGGTATAATGTATATCCATATTGTTGTGGTTTGTGTAAAAAATTCTGCCTTAATGTATATAATTTTCTGGGCCAATTTCTGACTCTTTCCCACTGAAAGTAAATCCAAGAAATTTACAGGCATATTCCGAGAAACTGCCAAAGAAGGAAGACTCAAATTTCTGATACCTGCACTTAGGGTCTAAGTTAAGCACTGGTGGATTTTGTTTGTTTTTGTTAGAATGAGGTTCTACTCATATTTGGGGTGAAGAAATGAGACTAAAATACAAGACATGTTAACTAAAATCTTTTAAAAGGAAGATGGACCTGAAATAAAATATTCTGTGTTTTTTTTAAGTAAGGTGAGAAAAGATCCTCCCATTGGAGAACATAGTTTCTTACAGTGAAAAATAATTCCTTTTGTGAAAAAGACTGTAAATAAACAATAAAAAAAGTTCTAAAGTAACATAACATTCTCAATATTTTATACAGAACTTATTATCAATAAATAAAAATCAAAGAGTAGCATCTTTGAAAATAAACTGCAATGTAGAAAATAGTGCTGTAAAACATCTTTTCACACAATGACAATACTCAATGTCACATCTTTACAAGCTGTACCTCTGCAACTCTGTTTATGTGAATATATGTGTGCATGCATATATGTATTTTCCCTAGTCAATTACATGATGTTTTAAATAAGTAGAATAATATTTATACTCTTAGTAACTAACTTAGATTTATTTTTAGACTCCTCCATAATGTTCTCATAAAATCAAACAATTTGGTATCTTATTCTTTGCTCCAATGCAATTTGGTGATGAAAGTCTAATTGTTTTCCCATTTTTTCTCCATTTGAATGAAACGAAACTGAAATGCTTGGAACAGCACTAGAACCCATGAAGTTCCCATCAGGAAGCTCTGCAGTATGAGTGTTATGACTGATCTCAGATGTTGAAAGAAACCCAACTCCAAGAATTAGACTTCACTCAACCGAGCAAAGCATGCAATACAAGCCTGTGTCTCCACTCACCCTTGAAAGGATGCGAAGGACAGCCTCCCTGAGGCTCCAGTTCCTGCAGTCTGGGAGCCCAGTGGGAGACTGAGGCCCTATGCAGTTCTGAATTGTGGATCTGTGGGTGGGTGGTCCTGTGAGGGTGTGTGTGTGTGTGTATGTGTGTGTGTGTGTGTGTGTGTGTGGTGGGAAAGGAAGAGGGAGAGAAAAATGTGTGTTTTTTTTTTTAATCAGAAACCATTTCCTACATTCCAGTGTGTTTTCTATATTTATCTACAGCTTCAACTAAGCTGGACACAGGGAAATAACAGAAGCATAGAAAGAATTATCACTCGTGTTATGAAGAAAGGCAGTATGACTATTTCAATTAAAAACCATCCCTCTTTTCTCTCCATCTCTCTTTTTCCTGGCCATTTCAGTATCTTGCCAAAAGCATTAAACATTTCACTGTAGGTTTATGCTAAATATTCCTTTCTATTTAGCACTTAAAACAGATTAATAGGAATGTAAGAGCAGCAATACACTTGAAAATTCCACACTTAATTCCTCCATCCCAAAATAGACAGATAGACAGACACAGGCCAGCAGATGGATAGAGATGTACATAGCATACCTGGAAAATGGCCAGAGGGAAACCAAGCAAAAATGTACCAAAGTTGAAGAAAATCTGGGCTTGAGTTCCCCTACTTCATCCATCTCTCCTAGTATTTAAAGTCCTAGGATGTGCTCAGCATGGCTGTCAATCAAGCAATCCTTAGAAAGCCAAACCCAGGCCCACAAGTAATTTCAGTTCCTTTGCTGAATAAATATCAGCTATCAAAAAAGTCCTAGAACACACAACTGTTTTCAGTCCCCTGACGACGGCTCAATAATCTATGATTTGCTTTGGGGAGAAAGAAAGCAGGGGTGGGGGGAGCTTTTTGTTTCTTGCAGCATTAATTTGATTTGAGCAAAGTGCTGAGTGTCCAAGCCCTTGAAAAAGCTTCCCTGAAAAGACTGATTGTGGCAGGGCTGGCCCCTTCCCTGGTGGCCAGGGGTCCTGACCCCATCTAGGTGCTCACCAGCTGGGCTGGATGGGCAGCTGTCCACCCTAAGTGGGCCATTTGTCTTGAACTGTCTCCCTGATGGCAGTGAACTGCTCCTGCAGAGGTGCTGGAAGAGGATGGTAGACTTAGTCTTATACCCCAAGGATTGTGTCAGCTTCACGATCCTTTTATTTCTCTCCTTAAAATATCTCTGTAAACTTAATTAATGAACAATCAACCGTCCAATTCATCTTTTTAAAATCAAATCTTGAGTGGCCAGATTTGATTTTGTTTCGGATTTCTTGATGGTTCAGATTTTATTAGATGAGGCTCCCCACTGTCCTCAGCCCAGTTCCCTGACTGCCAGCCGAAGCACAGGAACAACTATTTTTAGATCTAGGCAAGCCCGGGAGCATCAAATGGTAAATTATTAGCTGTGACTTTAAAAATAGTCATGGAGACACTTTTGGAACATCTTATTTCTCCATAGCATATGGACTTGAATTTACATCTCACCTTTGCAGAGCAAATCCCTGTAAATAGAATGAAACAGACCACAAATGCTGCCCACGTCTGATGTTTCTGGGTTGAGTTGAAGCTCTAAAACTGTTCTTTGGGTCAGATTGGTGGCTTACAGTGTTTGGGTAAATAAATGGGTTCAGGAATGGCCACCCTGCTTCTTACACCCATAGGGGCACACTCCGGCAGATATACACATGCTTGCGTGCACACACACACACACGCACACGCACACCTGCACACATGCACAGAGCCAAGGACAGCAGAACCATCTACCAGATAGGAAACACTCTTGCTCTACAGTGTGCTTTTTGCTTGGGATTTTCCCCATGATGTTGATGTCAGAAGGTGACGGGAATGTTAAATCTGAGAACTGACCTGGATGCTCTACCTGAGCAAGCTCTTCAAAAGCAAGGTCTGTCAATGGTGGCCTATGGTGTTTCCAAAATCAGAGAATGTCAAAAGAAGTTCATTCTAAGCTTCTCATTTCATAGGAAATAAATCGAAGGCAGGAGAACATCCAGGACTTCAGGCAAAGTGGAAGCAAAACCGTGATGCCATCAGCAGACACCCAAGCTGTTTGGCAAAGTGCCATTCTGCCTGACTGTGGCAGAGGGCCTTACCATGTGTGCTAGGAACACACTCATTGCCTTGTTAAGGCTTCCATAGAGGTTACTGTGGGGAGGACAGGAGGTGAGGCGGCGAAGCAGAAAACTCCAATTCTCTGTGATGATCAGGCATAGTTCTCTGCAGCCATGAGTCTCATCATTAAGACTAGCCACTGAAGGCAGGAATGATGGGTGGGGAAGGTATCACTACAGACAACTAGCAATCCTCGCCAACTCCTGCTTTCCAGAGAAAAGTCTCTCTGCTGGCCCGAGGAACTGATCAATAAGGAAAAGAAATAAAGAAGAGCAGCTTTTGGTTTGTTTTGGTATTTTTTTTTTAATAGAGGAAACTGTCTTTCATGCCAGATTTTAAAAGGAAAGTGTTTTACAAGTGACAGATGCAAATATCCATGGCCCTTGTTTGTTCAGCTTCAGGGAAGTTAGAGGTCAGCTTCCAGTTGTTGACAGGGAGAGGTTTAGTGAACAAAATACCTTTATCATTAGGTATTATCTTGTAAAAATATTTACTAGGGTGTAAGTGTAGAACATTGTGCTAATAGCAAGGCCCGCACGTTTCGAAACCATAATCCAGTTCCACAAAACAATACTCAGGAAAAGACCTTATTTTTATCGCTCTTTGGTGTGCCAGGTTTTTGTATTTAAGTGGTTGCTGGCTGGCTTTGTCTCTTGTTTTGAACTTCTGATTTCATGGATTACTATGGCTCTTGGTCAAACAGAACACTTTTGTATTTCTCCCTCAGATTTAAGTATAAAGAGCTTCGAGTTTATATTTTGAAGTAAGTGTCACTCCTGAAAATCCAACTTGATTAAAATCCTACTCTTATTCCATAACTTATTTCCTCCACCTTTTGCTCAGTGTCAACAATTACAAATGGATATTAGGGAGTACTGAAGCTTCCCATTCCCCAAAGCATTGACATTATACAAAACCCTTCTCGAGGGGAAAGGGGAAAGACAGTGGGATTGTATAAATATGTGTGTATAAAATATATATGTTTATAATATAATATTTATAAATATAACATATTTATAAATATAATATATATTATATAAATATATGTGTGTATATATACACACATTCATAATATATATAATAAAGTGTGTGTGTATATATATATATATATATATATATATATATATATATATATATATTATATATATATAATACATACACACACATTCCAACACTGCCACCACCACCAGGGATGAGGGAAATTCAGAGGAGGAATAAGTCATGCCTTCTGTTTCCTGGAAGTTCTAGAACCTGTCTATTTGGTTTTCCTGCATGCACTCTGCCAGGCTGCTGGGTATTAGACTTAAGGGCTGTGAGGTTCGGGTAGTCAGAAACTTAGAGGTTGCAGAAACTTTCTGCACAGTGGAGGTTGCAGAAAGCTGGAAGGTAACTTCAGTAGCAAAGCCCTTCTTGTTTCTCTCTTTAATTTGGAGATATAAATAGAAGTGGAAACGAAGTCAGTTTCCCCACTGCCCAGCACGTGGTCCTGTCTGACATTTCAGCCTCATTCATAACCAGATTACTTCATTGGCTTCTTGGCCAGTCCTTCACCAGTAGGATCCACATTCCATCCCATTCTGCACACCCAGCCAGGCTGAGCTTCCCCAGATGCCTCTTGCATCCGTCATCCTTCAGCTTGAGAAACAAGGGAACAAGGGACGCTGTCCTCTGCCTGCCTCATCATGATCAAGTCTTCCAAATTTCAAGGCACTGCACAGGCTGTGACTGCCTTTCCTCGCAATGCACACACCATGGCAGGAAAGCTGGTCTCTGAGCCCCCTGACTGTACCCTGCCCACATCTGGTGTCTGCATCTTTGCCTTAGTCTCCAAAGAATTTGCCCAGACAGACCCAACCCCAGCCACAAGCACCTGTAGGTGCCCTTTAGCATGACCACACTCTCTTCCTTTGTAGACATGCTGCATTATTGACACTATAGGAGATTCTATAGACTGGAAGGGAGAGAATCAGTATAGAATTTCTATTATAAATATTGTCACAATTTAATACTCATCAACAACCCCTTCCCAAATTAAAAAAATAAATTAACTTTGAAAAACATTTATCAATCAAATTTTACAGACACAAGTGAACGTACCAAACTCTCCATTTGTAATGTGGAGAAACAGACTCAAGTGGGGAAATGACTTTCCTTAAATTCTTGGCAGCATAACAGGAAGTGGAACCCAGTCATGTATTCTCCACCCAGAGCTGACCCACCAAATTCCAGTGTCTCTCCATTTACTTGTGAGAAATAACCTCATAAAACACGTTTGTCTAGTTATAGAATATGTGTTAAATATAAACGCTAAGCAGTAAAAAAATGAATGAGGAGAAAAAACAGAAAATAATTCACTATGTACCATTACCCCTTTTTATAGATTTCATCAAGTTCCTGCTCCATTTTCTCCCTTTCCTTAAGATTTGACAACAGAATCATATTTTCCATACTATTTGAGACCTGATTTTTTTTTCTTATAAAATGTAATCAATACATTTTCAAATCAATAAATATGATTCCACATGACCACTTTTCAGGTTGACATGGTGTGGTACAAAGTGGGTAAAATCTAATTTGCTTTTCCTTTTTCATGTTGATGGCATTTAGACCATTTCCAACTACCATTAGGCTTTTAAGAAAGATATTTTTTTCATCAATTTTCGATTTGTGTTTCCTTCACTTGTGAATGATTTCCGGAGACATTTTATATTGTGGGTATCCTGCTGAGTGATAGTGGTGGTGTACTGCATTGTAGGTTTGTTATGGTTTATAATTCCCTTTTAAGTAAAAGATTGCTCTCTAAGGGGTGCAGCACAATTTTTGAGTTTGATATTGAGGTCTTACTTTGTACTGATTTTTGTTCGTTCGGTGTTTGTTTTAGCCCAAGTTTCCTGCTGTGTTTCATGGTGACTGACATCAGGACCCATGCTTTTGAGAGATAGGAGAAGCATAGCTTCCCTTCCTCCCTTCTT